AGAGCGGACAGAGAGAAGGAAGGATGCTATTGGGAAGTCAGGGAGCAGAATAAGAAAACAGGTGGGTCAAGGGAAAGCCAGTACAATGTGATGACCTCTGGGAAAGAATCACTGGGCATGCAAATAATATGGGATCAGTTTGCTCTAGAGTAAACTGACCCAGGTAGACGTCTACACATGCAGGGTCTCGGAAGCAGATTTACTGCTCATGGCAGAAATCTGCTCCCTCCCTCACTGGCCCAGCACTGGCCCCCTGCAGCAGCCAGGGGGAGCTCTTGGCTCCCCCTGGGTACTTGTCCAGGGGCTGGCAGGGAGCACTGGGCCAGGAGCACAGCTGTCTCCTGGCAGGGACTGGTACATTGCTCCCTGCCCCCCTGGGGGCTGCCTGCTGCCAGGGCGGGGACAACATTCCCCTGCCTGGCAGCAGGGCACTCCTGGCCCTGGCTCCCTGATCAAGGGCAGGGAACTTGGAAAGAGCTGCAGGGGAAGGGCAGGTTCCAGCACCCTGTCCTGATCCACCAGTGGGGCAGCTAGCAGTGAGGTCCTGGCTGGGCAGGGATTTCCCGCTTGCTGCTAGCTGCCTGACTAGTGGATGGGGCAGGGGGCTGGGACCTACCCCACCCCTACAGCTCTTTCAAAGCTCTGTGCCTTGATTACCCAATAGGGGCATAAGGCTGGGATCTGCCCCTGACCAGGACAGTTATGAGCCCCACTCCATGATTGTGAGGCAAGGACTAGAGAGCCTGTTCCCCACCCAGCTCAGCCACCATGGAGCTGGGCAGGGAACAAGCTCCCCAGCCCCCGCCAGCAGGGAGTTCCCAGCCCCTGCTCCGCAATTGGGGTGTGGGGCCTGGGAGATCCTTCTCTCCCAGCTCAAGTCCCACAGTTGCAGGGCCAGTGCCGGGAGATAAAGATCTTCCAGCCCGGGCCCCGCAACTGCAGGACTCAGGCTGAGAGAGAAGGATCTCCCAGTTCTGGCCCTACAATTGCGGAGCTAGGATTAGGAGATAAGGATCTCCCAGCCTCAGTCCTGCAGTCACAGAGTGGGCACTGGGAGCTGTCTGCTGCCAGGGTAGGGGCTGGGAGCTGCCTGCTGCCAGGCTGGGGCAGGGAGACACTGCCCCCACACCCTGGCAGCTCCCAGGGGCAGGGAGCAATCTCCCAGGCCCTGCTACCAGGCAGCACATTTGCTCTTGGTCAGGGTTCTACACATGTGCCACTGTGCAGTTACTAATCAGCAGGGATCCTGGTTTTCCCTGATAAAAAAAAAATTTGCAAATTCTCTACTAAAAACCCCCAAATCCATTATTAAAATTAAAGGCCACTCACAGTCCTTCCTGGTGCCCCTCACTCCCCTCCACAGCCCTGCTGGTGCTCCTCACTCTCCCCACAGCCTTCCCTGCCCTGCTCGTGCCCCTCTCCCCCACAGCCCCCTTGCCCTGCTCGTGACCCTCACTTCCCTCCCACAACCCCCCAGCCCTGCCCCTTGCCCCCCACCCACATCCCCTGCCTCCCAGCCCTGCAGGAGGGGGGCTGCCAGGGCTATAGGGCCAGGGCCCCAAGTCCACAGCTCCCTGCCCCCAACAGAAAGCAGCGGCTGCTGCAGCAGGAGCCAGCTCCCCCACTGCTGCTGCGGGCTCTGGCAGGGGCAGGGCCAGCTCCCAGTGGCAGTGTGCACTCTGGGGGGCAGAGGGGACCTGTGCCCCCCCAGCTCCCGGTGGCAGCGCGCACTCCAGAGGGGCAGGGGACACATGGGGCAGGGGCAGGGCAGGTGCACGCTGCACATTTGTGTTTCCTGCCCTGTTGCCCTTCCCTGGGGCCTCTGCAGCACAGCGTATGCAACCTGGCACAGCAGGGCACACCGGGGAGGCACATGAAAGCTTCCTGTTGCTCCAACTGCTGTACTGTGCTAAGCACACTTCCCCTGTGTGCACGAGGACAGCAGCAAGGGGCACAACTGCGTGCTACTGCCCACACTGCCCCCATGCACACAGGAAGTGTGGCCAGGGCAGCACGGAGCTCGGAGCAGCAGACAGCTTTCATGTGCCTCCCCACTGTGCCCTGTTGTGCTGTTGTGCCCTGTCGTGCTGAGCTGCACATACTGTGATGCAGAGGCCCCGGGGGAGGGCAGCAGGGCAGAGAGCACGAGCCCACAGCACGCACCCACCCTGCCCCCATCCCCTGCACATAGGATGTGGGTTCCCCTCTGCACCCCAAGGAGTGCGTGCTGCCATCAGGAGCCAACCCTACCCCAGCCCCCATACAAGCCTGGTCTGGCAATAGTGCGCCCCTCTGGGTCCACAAGCAGGTGGGTGGGCACACCATGTCGGGCTTCCCCCAGTCAGCTTCCCACAGGAGTGCCTGACTGGCCGGCTGCGCATGGACCCAGAGCAGTACACTATCTGCCCTTAAGGGAAGCCACACACAACGCACACCCACCTTGCCCCTGCCCCCCACACAGATCTTAGGGGCGCAGGTCCCCTCTGCCCCCTGGGAATGCGCACTGTCACTAGGCGCTATCCCCACCCGGGACAAGCCTGGCCTGGTGATAGTACGCTACTCCTGGTCCACACATTGCCAGCAAGGAGGGCACTCCATGTGGGGCTTCCCCCAACACCTCCCCACTCCCTCAGCCCCCAGCCACACAGCAATGCCCTCCCCGCCAGCTTCCCCGCTGGATCTTCCCCCGGCCCTGGTAGTCACCCCCACCCACACCTGCCACCTAGGATCCCCCAGCTCTTCCGGTGCCCCCAGCCATGACCCACAACCCTCCAGCCCTCCCAGAGGCAGCCCCCAGCCCCACTTACCTCACAGGCTCCAGGAGTGAACAGTGAGCCTGAGCCAAGCCTTGGGTGAGTGAGAGCCTCAAGCCCCACCCTTCCCCTTCTCCCTCCCCCTCTGGGCAAGGTTGGGGGTTTCCCACCCTTTATGCAATTAGCCCTTGCAGGCTGGAACTCCACGGGTTTCTCTGCTGAAAGGGAAAATCCGTTTTTTCTCTGATAAAAATCGGGAAAGCCATGGTTTTCTCTGTTTTTTCATGGGAAATGGAAAACCTGGATCCCTGCTAATCAGAAGTAAATGTGGTATTTGCATTTGCAGTAAGCATCTGCGCATGTAGACATGGATGCTTACTGAGCAGTAAGTAGCTCTACTGCACAGTAAAGCATCTTGTGTAGGTGCATTCAATGTGTGCGATGCACCAGTAACAACAGAAGGGATAATGCAAAGTCAGGGCTCCCAGAACTCTATCCTCTCTCTTGACATTCTCTCTCTCTCTCTCTTTACTCACTCAATGAAGACTAGTTGAAAATAATAATTCATGACCGAAGTGGAAGGAGAAGATCTAAGTGCACAAAACATTTTTAAAGTTTTCTACAAAAACAACAGGTTTTGAAATAATTTCCAGGCTTAGCAAAATAACTTGATGGTGAAAAGTGCATATCAGCATACCTGGTTTAGTTCCGGAGTTGCTGGCGCTTTGTCCAGAAGCAGCTTTTTTGTCTTGAAGTTTGGAGCCTTCAGAACCTAAAATCAGGAGGAAAGATGACAATTAGCCTTAGTGCTAGTGAACTGTTGGCAAACTCCATTATGGTGCAAATAAGTCATGTATCATGTACTGATAGAAAACATCTCTGCGAACATATATTATTTTTGAAGTACTGTCACATTTAGTGCAGAAAAATAGTCCTGGAGTGCAGAAAAATAGTCCTGGAAAATCTCCCCCCCAAATTTCAAAGCAAAGACTGAACGAATTATTATTTAGTAGGGCTGTGCAAAATTTCAGCTGTTTCGATTCGACACTATCCTGACTCTTTTTGAGCTCGAAACAGTGAAAGTGAATCTAAATGAAGGGCTTCAAAACAGCTTTGAAACAGAATGAGGCTAGTCCAAACATTTCGAAGCAGCCAGCAGCCAGGTGGTGAGAGACAGGGGAGAACCAGGGCTGCACTCCCAGCGGCTCCACAGCCCCATGTGGCTCAGCAGGGAGCACAGCCCTGGCTCTCCCTGCCTTCCATGGCTGGGCCGCGGGAAGCTGATCACAGTGCAGTGGAAGGGAACTGATGAAGTTGCAGTGGAAGGGACCTGAGCCCGGGCTCAGTTCCCTTCCCCAGCTTCTCTCCCTCATCTGGCAGGCAGATCAGGGGCCCGAAGCCCCAGGAGGACTAGGATAGCTCCTGCAGCCCTCCCGGGGTTGCAGGCTCCCATCTGCCTGCCAGATGAGAAGCTGTTTCGAGCCTCCCCATTATAGCGAATGGGCGAAGTGTCAAAACAGCATCACTGTTTCGACGAAGCGAAACAGGACAGTAGAATTGGAAACAAAATGCTGTTCCATCAAAACCTCGAAACTCAAGTCAAAACCGAACGGTGCCGTTTTGCACAGCCCTATTCTTTAGCATTATCTTCCAATCAGTTTGGGGAAAGATACATTACAACACGTCTGTCCAACTGGTGGCCCGTGGGCTGCATCTGCCTACAAGGGTTAAAATGTGCCCCCTGGGCTCCTACCCAGCTGCCACTCCCCACCCATTGATCCTGCTGCTCCAGCAGCTGGGGTCTTCAGGCTCTCCTTCCCTCACCTTGTTTCCTGCCCCCACTTCTGAGGACAGGGCAGGGACAGGCAACTGAAGGGCACTACATGCACAGCAAGGGGAGATCCAGCTGCCTGTGCAGCAAGACAGGGGCCAATCTGCCTGTGTTGTGTGCTGCTAGGAGGGAGACTGCACTGCCTGTGCAGGGGAGGGGAGCTGGGTTGGTCACAATGCCAGTGAGGGGACAAGAGGAGAAAGCTGGGCTGCTTGAACTACCCACATGGGGGGAAAAAGCGAGGCTGTTCGGAGGATATCCTGTCTCCCATACTACATGCCTGGCCAAGTGGGAGGCAGCACTGCCTGTGCAGTGGAAGGGAGCCTGGCTGCTCGCACTGCCCATATGGCTGGGAGGAACTCTAGCTGCCCACAGGGCTGTGGGGAAGACACAGGACAGGCATAGGCAGAGTATGTGATATGGTGATTTGTGGCTTGGGGGGGGTTACCCACCCCTCCCACTGCCCAAAAGTTGGCCATCCTTGCATTACAAAATCCCTCCTCTAGAAGGTTTCCCTTAATACTTCCTGTCATAGACAAGTCACAGGTGGCCAAGCTCTGGCATGCTGCTAGGAGATCTGTAGCTACTACCACCGAAGTCAGGACTTTGGATCCTTGCTCACCATATAAAACTGCAGTGGTTGCAGGCCAGAGAAGGGTTAAACTGGCCCTCAGCACCTCTCTCCTACCAGCATCCTGCTCTGCTCTGCTCAGGCAGGCTTGAGTCCCCACTTCATTTCTGGTATCCTGAGGGGACAAACTATAACAAGTGCACCTCTGGCTGGGGAGGGGTGAAGCAGAGCATTACTCAGGGAAACAGGACTTACCTTGTGGCACACCTCCCAAAAAGAGTTGGCCACTGCTGGTCTAAGCTACACTATTATATTATAAGCTATCTTATTATAGCATTCCCCCCTCATTTTTTGCCCCTAAGTGATGTTCAGACAATCCCTAACATGTCAAGAATTATTCCAATTATCAGCCTTCTGTTTTCGTTAGAGGGAACTGGACTGGGACCTTCAAGCAGGACTAACAGCAGCAAACCAGCAGGAACAAGAGTGTAAAAAAAGTTGCAGTGGTCTGAGATTAGCAAATACAGGAACAATCCCAAGCGCTGAAGTACAGGAGACTGTGTGTCACTAGGTGTCAAAGGTACATTTCAGATTCCTTTATTTATTGCATAAAATATTAATCAGACTGCCAATATCAGTTCTTATTTCACTAGAACACACCAAATTGCAGCACTGGTTAAGATAACAAGCTGGGCCAACAAAGTCAATGGAAAGATTCTCATCGATTCCACTGGACTTTGAATCAGTCTGTGGGTAAATAGAGAGATGCCTCTGGACTTTAAATAAAGCACTGCTTTATGTCTATTCATTAAGGAAAAGTGGAAACCTGCACATTCAAGTTTATTTAATCTTATGTATAAATCAAAACTGTATCCTGTTCAGTTTATATTGGGTTAAAGCAAAGCCAGCTAGCATGTACAGTAACTGTTTCGCATAACATTGCTGCCTTTTCTTTAATGTGCAGAGCCATTAAAATGCATGATGTGGTATTCTTTTTTTTCCCCTGTATCACTTTGTGCAGCCAGTTGACTTGATTGATTACTGTTTCCCAGACCATTTGTGGAAAATGCTGCCAGAGTGCAGAAAATACAACAGTGATACTGCTCTTTGTACACAGCATCCTAGTAAAAGAGTATTACCTATAACAGGATAGTCACATCTTGCGTATTTCATCAATGTGAAATTAACAGGATATTTGACAGTTGTATAATGCAATTCTTAAAAGTGTGGAAATGCAGTTGTAGATGTGCAGAGGTATAACTAACAAATTTATTCAAAGGTTAATGTCCTCACCAATGCTCAGTAACTATTTTTTTTTGTTTTAAAGCAGTTTCTTCTGTTGGAATATTAAAAATCATGCATCAGATTACAAGTCACGGTGAGTCAAATCTATGGTGTAGATTTCACATGTGTTGTTATGGGGCTTCCAACAATATCCTAAGAAGTTTTTGAAGCAGCAACACTGTGGGCTGGAGAGATAAGTGGCTTCCACGCAGGTTGTGGAATTAGTAAAGAGTTTAATAGTAAGTCTTTATTGTTAAATCAGGCCAAATATCAGTTCAATTATTTTATTCCTCAAGCAGAGTATCATCATACCGTTATTTAGCTGTAACTAGGAGAATCACCTCCATATTCTCTGCAGTAGACTGTTTGAAGGTATGGAAATTCAAGCAAAGAAGCCTGGGAATCCCCAATATATTTTTTCAATTTTGTTTTTAATACCATCTCTCTAACTATAAGCAGAGCTAAAGCTTTACCTAACACTATAAACTTAATGCAGTACCTGTTGGCATGTGAACCTAACGGAATCAACTTTCTCCAGTTCCCACATCTAATGATATCTTTAGATAAAAAAAACAAACAAACAACCTTTAAGCTACTTAAGTTTTATAAGAAATGTCCTTTATCCCCGATTCAGAATGCATTCAAGCCATTTGAAATAAATTCTAAAATCCTTCTACAAAGTTTCCCCATCTTTCCATCCCTTCCCAGATTGCTTGGCTTTAGGAAATTACACTCACTTAGAACAGAGATTAGCCAGAAGAGAGGAAAACCAGTAGCAGAAAAAGTAATATTTTATTTAGGTCATGTTTCCATAGTATCCAAGAGGCTCATCATTTCTATTATGTTTATCTTCCTAAGCCCCTGTAAAGCAGCAATTGCCATTATCCCCATTCTACAGATGCCTGTACCACTGCGACTTTGAAAAATATGTCCCCATCCACTCACTTCTGTCCTGTGCAAGCCAAATGCTGAAAAAAGTAATGCAGCTGTTGTCAGAGTAGTGCCGGGTGTGCACCAATAAGAATATTCAAGGCTAAGAGCAGAGCTGGACTCATGCCAAAAAACAATGACCTTATTACTTCTTGGCACAAAGTGGGGCCAAGCAGGGTGGGTTTGTTTTCATGGTGGCAGTGCCTAGCACAGTTGAAGGTGGTGTATACATGCCTTTAGGATGAATCTATAGCCTCAATATTGTAGCAGAGAATGCCAGATCGAAGCATACCGCCACCTCTGGCCCATGGATATTATCTTCTGAACAGGATCTAGTGTAGCTGCCTTAGCATGGTGCTGAGTGCATGCCAAAAGCTCTCCTGAGAGGTGGAGAGTCTTGGCATATCCCCAGTTCCTCATTTAGGCATCTCTATTCTTCCTGTCTTGGGAAACAGTACATACAGAGCAGGTGCTGTATGCTCAGCATAGCACTCCCTAGCACTGTAGTGAGGTGGCACAGATCACCACTATGCAACTTTCCCAAGATTATACAAGAACCTGGAGAAACAAAACCAGAGCCCTCTGTCTGCCAATCCATTCTCCTTCCCCAATTCTTAGTTTCCCTGCTTAGACAAAGACTGCATATTATATCCTACTGTAGAATTTCCTCTTAAACAAACAGCTTCTCAACCGAGTCCCAGCACCTTTCCATAGAAAACATTTTCTCAGACAGTCCCTTGAAAACTGACACCACAGCCCTGGGCAACTCACATATTTTTCCAACATACTGTTCAGCTTCTGTCAACAGAGAGACTACTTAATGTTTGTCTGCTAAGAGTACATGCTACATAAGAACTGGAAACCTGTCTTTTCCTGTTCAGGGCCTCAACATTTTTTTAAATGTGCACAACATTTTCCAAGAATTCTGGAGGAACTCAAATGGAGATTCCAGAATTGTTGGCAATAGGAGGTAAACTATCATTACAATAGTCTCTGTACCAGAGGACCAGTGGATTGCCAACATAACACCCATCTTCAAAAAGAGCTCCAGAGATGATCCTGATTACTACAGACCAGTGAGACTCACTTCCATCCCTGACAAGTTGATAAAAATAAAGAGTAAAATCGACAGTCACATGGACAAATAGGGTCTGAT